ACTCGAAATGCTATGAGCATAGCCAAAAGGGCTTTTGAGTTTATAAACCCCCTTCTTCAGCGGGGTTTGAAGATAAAAAAATATCTCTTCAATATAATATAAAACAAATTACACACTCAAATTTATATTAGCGTAGCCAAGCCAGGGGTGGGGGGTTTGAGTTTAAACCCCCCTCCTCCAGAGGTTTTTTTTTTTTAAAGTTTCAAACCCCTCCAGATGGTTTTGAGTTTAAAATTCCCCTAAATACTTTGAGGTTGAAAACATCTCTCTTCAATATCATTCTAAAGCAAACTAGAGTTTAGAATTTGTTATAAAATTTGACGATAAAACTTCCCTGTTCGATATAAAATATAAAGCAAACTATAGTCACATAATTCCAAGAGTATAGCCAAGATAGGTTAAAAATTTCTACCAGTGACTGGGCTCCATTAATTAAGTGCAGTGAATAGTCATCTGCTGAAATTGAAAAAGACTAAATGTGGCTCAACAAAGATGGCTAAGATGGATTTTAGGAGTCAGTTATAGAGATTGGGTCTCAATCATGGAAATCCTTTGTTGAACTGGGAGTCGACCCCTTAGTAAGGTTGTAACAGAGCGTCACATGAGGTTTGCGGGACTATTCTCTGACAAAACGAATTACGCATAATAAGAGTTGCAATGACAGGGGCCATCACAAGGAAAGCGCAAACAGGGAAATCCTAGTATAACATAAAACTTTTTAATAGCAGGATAATCCCTGTAGATACCTCAGAATAAGCATTTTGTTGGTTTTCAGTACCGGAAATGGTGTTTGGCAGTGAGGTTCAGCCCCGAATTCCGCCGTGAGAGCTAACTCCAGGAAAAACCTATTCTAGGGTACAATAAACGTCTTACAGATGGTCAGTAATAAAGATTAATTATGTACACACACACGCACATATATATATTTGCCCCCCACCCCCACCAAAAAAAATCCTGGCTATGCTCATGCAACAACCTGAAGCATATTCTGCATAAAACGTCAGATTGTAAGAATAAATAAGGTTAATTTTTATTATATAAAATGTATCGATAGTTTTATATGTAGCACTTTTTGTTTTTTTTATTCAAAGTATTAGAAAGTCATAATAAATCATCATAAATATATTTTAAGGTTACCGGGTATTTTGTAAAAGAAGATTCGTGAAACCTCTAAAATTAGCTTGAAATAAGAGTATTAAAAGTTGGCTTTTATATAATTATGGGTAATAGATCTAGATCTATTGCAAAAGTATCTTAGCATTGCTCCTTTAAATTGGGAATCTAGATATATATATATGTCTATGTATGCAGATCTATATTATAAATGGGATAGGGTTAGGGTTCATTGTCATGATTCAATGAATGACTGTGAGTAGATCTATATCCATGAGTTGAGTGTGACACAGTAAGAATCTTCAAAAGTTCATGACCTTCACTTGGCTTTTAAAACATGAGTGTCATCTCTTTCATCTGTCTCTAGATTCAAGATCTAGATATTCTAGATGATATAACCTAGATCTATTACTGAGAATCACTCAAACCAATTTATTACACTATTTAGCAATAACAATTTAATTTAGCCATTAGGCCTTTTTCAAAACTGAAATGAAAAATGAAAGGCTGAAAGTGAAAGGTATCAATTTAGAATTTTAGATATCGATCTTCTTCTTATATGATACAGACGTTACTTCAAAAAAAGAAGATGATTACGTCCTACACATCATGCATATTAACCAATGACCTAAATTCTGCCAAGTCACTGGTTTTCCTGGCTAGCTCAGGCAACCCATTCCATGCTCTAATAGCACTAGGGAAGAAGAAGCATTTGTATAAGTTTGTCCTAGCATATGGAACGAGGAATTTACCTTTATATTTGTGTCTTGAGTGATTCTCGGTAATAGATCTAGGTTATATCATCTAGAATATGTAGATCTTGAATCTAGAGACAGGCGAAGTGGGACAAAAAAATACGGACGATTTTTCAGGCGGACTGAACGGCCTATTCTAGATCATAATAATCTAGATCTATGATCTATTTCTATTCTATATTTAAATATTTTGTTTTACTTTAATTAGATTTATTAGATCTACCTGAAATATGTTACGGCTAAGACAAGAGCTCAGAAGTAAACTCTAGTAACTATTGCATCTATATGTAGATCTACATATAATCCTAGTCAGCAAACAGAGTCTAGATCTAGAAAATTTCTAGTGTCTCTAGATCTACACTACACTATCTAATCTAAATTAGTAAATAACAATCGAACCCAGGTCACGTGAAAGTCTAAAATTAGCACTTTTTTCACTTGGCTATATAAAAATGATGTATGGACCGAAGGCCGTCGTTACCTTCTTAAAATATCTTATCTTACCTTATGATGTCTTATCCTGTAGAATACAGATTCGACGTTACGCAGGCGACCAAAGCGTTATTAAAAGGTTCTTTTTTTTTTTAAAATAAAAACAAAATAACTTGGCGAATGGCTTCAGTAGGCCTACTAAACTAAGGAATCTTTTTGTTTTTTTTGTTCTGCTGTGATTTGACATATGCCTACTAACTAAATTATATTTAAATTGAATCATCTTCGTCAGTAAATTGTTACAGCCTATTTTTCTATTAGCAATGGAAAAGCTAAAAATAATTTTATAAACCTAAGACATATAAGAATAAGAAAATGTAACATGATTTCGGACATCACGATGCATGAATATCACGTCCGAAATACCTCTACTAGCTCTAAACCACATTGACTTTCTGAGAACACATCGCTTACAATGGAATTTGGACTGTCGATAAAGGATTATACCCCATGCGAGGATATTCTCGCTAATGTCAGCAATTTTTTAGAGCAGTTAAACATGTCACCTTTTTGTACAGGTATATGATAGTGGCGTCTCAGCATAGCAGACGTCTGTATAATAAGCATTCCGTGATAGCAGCACCAAGACCTTAAGAGCAACACGCTTAAATTATATTTTGAGTTGTTCCATTTCCGTCTAAAGTGTTGTGAAGTCATCGAACTTCGTTTGAACTGTTTTCTGCTTTATTTTAGCTAGACACAACACTTTTGTCGCTAACAGCAAAAAATAATGATCGGTTGTTAATTTTATAAACTACACCGTGACAGACTGCGATGACGCTGACGACAAACTGTATGGGCACTTGACGTTCCTTTGGATTTTTTCGCTGCGAGAGTGGGGGGGGGGGGGGGGGGAGAACAGATATGTGCGGTGCCGCGGGCGACATCATTCCGACCACAGGCAATGCCAAGGCATTCATCTCATTTCCATAGTCGCTTCATGACTGAATGAGGCCATAATATATGTTTCCCATTTCAGATCTTGTGATCTATTAGGGCAGATCATGTAAAAATAATCTTTTTTTCTGTGGCCCACGCTTAACGAGTGTGTCATGTGGTCAGCACACCAACCAACCTCATTTACTTTTCCTCAACTTATGTCAGGTGCCCAGTAGAGCTGGATTGACTCAAAGGCGCCCTGAAGATCCATTATATATGATATTGATATTTATAAGAAGCACAAATAAAAATAGGTTTGCGTGTTTTGTTTATTGTATCTTCATACATTGTAGAAAATTATGTTATAGGCCTAATTATTTGGAAATTCGTAATTAAATAGAAAACTTAATTTTTGGAAAGTCATACACACATATTCTTAGCTTCTGGCTATTTATAGTGAAATGACATTCATGTCTTACTTGTAGAAGTAAAGTACATCTTTCAGACCTTGCAATACGTAGGGATGATAATTGTCTCGGTGGCTAATGTGGCCATCACAACCACCTTTAATTTCCCCTACCAAAGTCAGGTACCTATTACGCTGGGTGGACTCCTAAAATTTAAATACCCTGTCTCTACCGAGATTTGAACCCAGAAGCCAACAGACCCCAACTTTTTTTTTTCTTTAATAGTATCTTGGTACTTCTTTTAATATTTTATATATAGTAGTTAATTTATTTCGGACATTACATGAATTCGGACATTCGCTGTTTTTATCTATACTGATGAGCCCGGCAATATTTATTCTGTTTTTGAAGCTGATTTATTTGATTCATAAGCCAAGTTGTTTGATTCCATACTAAAAAAATTAATAGGTTGTCCGAATTAAGTTACGATTTTCTTACCAAAATTTTTTTCGGACATCAATGTTAATGATCTTATATTATATTTGATCGTTTGTTGTTGTTTTTTTACTAGAGAATAAATGGGCAAATGTTTGGAGTGAGTTTGGTACATTGAATGAAGGTAAATGCTTAGATCTAGACCTACTAGATAAATCTAGATTTATATAGAGAGAATATAGAGGATTCAGTTAGGCAAGAATGACTATCCTTACCTGTACTATACTACAAAAGATCATCTGTATTTAGAAATTTATTAAATTAATAAACAAAAAAAACATTCAACACACATCTAATCCTGCAAACATAAAATAAGTCTAAAAGTTTGTATAAAAGTCAGTATCCTAGTGACCTAATTTTGGTAGAATAAGTGTTTATATTTTTATTTTGTGTGTTTGTATTTATGCATCATTTTAAAACATCTTAATGATTTCATGTGAGGGGCTATGCCTGGGGATCTTAAAATTTAGTTAATGTTAATATGGCATGATAATCTGAGTTTTGTTATGCCTAAATTTAGAGATTGTTTGAAATAAATTATGTGTCCGGAATCAAATAATGTGGGTCAAATTTGTCCGAATTAAATGAAAACACACTGCCTCTTTGACCTTAAATATAATAACAAATATAGGTTAGGGGTACAAATATAAGTAGTCATCCTTATTCTCCTTAAACCAAAGAAGACTTTGATACTTCATTTTCTTTTCTATGTGGAACCATTGTCAAATAATGCGCTGTCAAAGTCAAACTTTCAAATTTGGGCCTATAGGTGTCCGAATAGCATAACCTACTCTAGCCCCTGCAATAGGGTTTTTAAAACTTTATAGTTGTAAAACAAATTACAGAAACAAAAAATGAAAACAGTACTGAAACATTTCCTAATATAGTTAGATTAATTTATTACTAAAAACTGCTTTGCTATTGAAGTTTTCAAGATTAATTTAATGCCTTTTTTTGTTGACCAAAATTGTAATAGTTGTATTTATAAGTATAAATAAAAAAAAGGATAGCCTATCACTGTATACTATAAAAACACAAATTATATTACAGAAGTAAATAGACAGTACAGCAGTACAAAAACAATGATGACATCAACACTGCAATAAAAAATGTACACGAAACTACTCATTGTACATCAAAACAAATAAGGGATAAATAACATATGTACATGAAACACCAAAACAATTTCTAAAAGACACTTATAAAACTTTGTACACTAACAAAACCTATCATCAATCATCAAAAACAGCTTTAAAGAGATTTTCATTCTCTTATTTTAGATTAAACAATATAAATTGCATATTGCTTGGGATGAGAAAATATTAAAAAAAAATTTCAAAATTACTTTTTATAGTCATAAAAGTTTTAATATAAAATTATATTTAAATATTACATAATTTCTAATTAAAAGAAAATCAGTTGGAATGTATTTAATATATTTAAATCTTAAATTAATTTTGCTGAATCGCTATATCACTGACAAGCCAGAGTATAAGCTCTACCATATAGGGAAAAATATACTTAGTTTTATGCACAGAAAGAAATAATAAGAAACCACCAATACCTTTTTTTTTTTTTGTAGTAATGATTGAACTTTTTTTAAGCATTAAAAGTATTGAATTGGTCCTTTTGTTAAATTTATACAAGAAATAGCTGAAATCTAACTAGTTATTCCTTTTTCATAATTAGCTAAAATGGCAATATTTTATGCAACACTTGAGTTTATAAAATTCAAAAAGAATAATTTCATTAAGATTGATGGTTCAAAATATAAAGTGAATTTTTGAGTCTCATGCGTGAACATGAAAGTCAGATCTAGTTCAAAAATTATTTGTTTTACTCAAATAACAATACAACCAATGGATGCAGAGAAAACAAATATTACTATTTTATGATACATTGACCAAATCCAGTTTGAATATTAAAAGAAAGTAGTACAAGTCCAACTACTTACTGTAATAAAAATAGTGTAATGAATTATTCATATAACAAAAAAAAAAAATCAATCAAAAATTCATTTCCTGTTAAGTTATAATTAAATGCAATATTATCCTATATAAAAGTAAAATATATCTTTACAGTAGGGTTTTAAACTAGGATTAGCAGCCTAATTAACTCTTTGATGAGGACTATAAAAAAAGTCTAATTTCACTGACAATATAAAACCCAATATTTTGTATTGAATAGATGTTACATGAAAACTCTTGCAAAGAAACACAACTGAGCTAGAATGGAAAGCTTTACCAATACAAATCTTAGACTTTAGTTTTCCTAATTAAAGGTATTCCAGTTCTTGACAAAGAGGCTACTCAAGACGGCTCATATTTCACTTTTGGCTGGGAAAAAAAACAACAATAATTTCATTAACAAAAAAAGGGTTCGGACAGGGGAGCTGCCTTTATTTTATTTGGATGGACTAGATATCAATTTTTCATCTAATATATCTTTTTTTAAAATTTGGCAGCCAACAAAAAAAAAAAAAGAACATTAGTTATTATTTTTACTTTGGTTAATAAGTTAATGTTAATAACTGGAATAAAATTACCATAACTATGTTGTATTATTATATTTTTTAAATATAAAAGGGGAATGCAGCAAGTACATTGAAGCTAAAGGACCATGTGGTATAGCTAAAAAGTTTTAGAACCCTTGTTCTAAGTTAAAACAATTATTAAACAAGCCTGTCATGTACTTCATTTCTTCTATGAGACAGAAGAACGAAGCTTATTTTCCTTGATTTCTACATTTTTGATAAATATGGCTAGTGCATACAATCTTTAAAAAAAAAGATGATGATGCAGATATAGATCGACTAAAATTATTGAAGGCAATGGAATGTTCAACGGAAATAGGTTTATCCACGTAAGCCACAAAAAACTTGGAAATATACAGAAGTCTGAAGAAATCTTACAAATTGTAATAAGAAAATTGAGTTAATAGGATACAAAGGAATGAAGACTGAAAAAATGTTAATACATATAAATATATTTAATATAGAACGGAGTTAATATAAGAATTGAAGTTTCATTGAACTTGACGCACATTAGGCAAGAACAAGCTTAAGACTGAAAAAGTTATTTATTAAAATGCCTCAATGAACAATAAAACAGGAAGAGATATTGAATTGTTTTTGGAAGGAAAATTCTTTTGCTATTGAGCCGGTGTTAAAATAAAATATTAAATTAGTAAATAGGCTTCAAGTGATGCAATTTTAAATTAAGTTGTTGGCAGTAGTTTGAGAAAAATTGGACTGCACCATTTTTTTAAAAATAAAAGTTCACATAAAAGCATTTTACATTTTCTAACAATCAAAGAATTCAAAACTTTTAACATATACAGTCAAATCTTATAAATTGAAACATCACATAGCTGCCCTTAATTTACTTAAAAAGTAAAAGGATTGAATGTTCTTATAGAAAAAGCACAATCAATTTCATGTAAGGCTCATTTAGGACTTAAAATAACTAAGATTTTGATATAGACATAAAAGAGATATTTATGTAAAGATATATTAATCAGTAATTTACTCAGAAGTCATAATAATAATTCAGACATTTTTTTTTATAATATTTAAAATTATCTTAGCTGTACTGACATCAAGCACCTTTCAGATATGTTTACTTAAATAAGTAACTATAGATAATATTACAAGTAACTTTCTTTCCTGAATTACAATAATTGAGCTAGCCAGGAAAACCAGTGACTCAGCAGAATTTAGGTTATTGGTTAATATACATGACTAAACGCATTACACATAGGACGTAATCATCTTCTTTTTTGAAGTAACATCTGTATTATATAAGATAAGATAATGTTTATTTTTATAAATTTTATTAATTAGGCTCTTTGTTTTCCTTTAATTAGACAGTATTTCTATCTTCCTTACTAGCCCCACCATTCTCTAGTTCAAAATAATGAGACTCTTCTGATTTATTTCCAGATTTACTTCTCTTAGCAGGGATAGGGGCCTCTGGGACTGGCGCATCTTCCAAAGGAAGACTTGACTGTGAACCACTAAGCGGTTCATATCCACTGTTCTCCGACCTCTCTTTATCTGAGTCAGCTTGAGCATTAAGAGTGCCACTAGATGGCTCTGGAAGAGGTTTAAAGTATCCATTTTCAGTGTCTACCTCAGGAGTTGCTGTATCTTTCTCATATTGGCTGTAACGAGGAGGACTTTCATATCCTGGGTTTGAAGCTTGCCCAGGTATTGGTGGCATGGGTCTAAATCAGATAATGAAAAAAATTAATAAAATTGTATTATTTAACAAGAAAATACATTATGACTTAACTAGTATTAAGCAAAAACCTGAATCTATATAATGGATAAATTCAAAAGAAGCCCAACAGCATGCCTTCATTAATTAAAAAAAAAATAAAAAAATTTCATATTAGAGTGTTAACAAAAACTGAAAAATTTGTAGGCCTAATATGTTTTTAAACTAATCATTGTGTTATATATATATGTGAACACAAACTTGCAAAAAGGAATCTGACTATTATTATACTTATAATTTGTGTGTATGTTTATTCTTTGTGTCTGGAAATATGAGGGACTATATAGGTTAAAGAAGAAAATTAAAAAAAAAGCTTGTATTAAGTGAATCAATTAGTTTGGATCAGTCATGTAATTAAATTTGTAATAGATCTAGACTAACAATAATAAATCTGTGCGATCAGAAATACTTCTTTTTACCAATTGTTTTTGTTTAGCGCAATTTTATGCTTTTAACTTTCTTAATATGTTATATCCTATCACTTGTCTAGACCAGTTGGAAAAGGGTAGAGGGAGAAAGAACAGTGTACCTTGATAATCAACTTTCAAATGTATTTTTAAAAAAAAAGGGGAACAACCTGAATTCGAACTTGTGGGCTAAAGCCTTCTACGGCTTCTCAAGCCAACCCCGCAACCACTCTGCTAGCGAAGAGACTATGAATATGGAAGATAGTTATCAATTGTTTCTATTTCATCTTTGTGTTCACTAAGCCTCAGATGACGAACTATAAAGGAGACTAATTCAGGCTATACCACCACTTCAGTCAAGTACATTTTCTTTCCCTTGTTCAAGATACCAAACAAAATAATTTATTACTAATAGTTAATTAACTAATTGGTTAATTTATAAAAATTAATTCTTGTGTTGTCAGATTAAAGAAATAACAGTGCAAAATTTTAGCTTGATCTGCGATTGGGTGTTGAAGAAATGATGTGTACAAACTTTTTACCAGACTGAGTCAGTAGATATAAGTTTTGTAAAAATAGTTAAAATTTTGTATTTTGTATGACAACATTTCTGGAAGTGTATTAGGCTAAATAAAGGAACAAATTAAACGAAACAACATTTCATAAAAAAAACAACTTTGTTGTGATTCATGTTTTGAGAGATACCAGTATCTAAGGATTACACTCCATCCAAAACCTTCAGATCACTGCCCAGTCATCTGCTATACTGTTTTGCAGGTTTATTGTACTATTGGAGATGTTCATACTAAAGATTCTTCACAGTAATCTGTACTTTATTTACAAATTAATTTGTAATTTGATTCTATAGTGCTACAAAATGCACAATAATTATTACATGGTTTAAAGTTATCAAGCCCACCAAGGTAAGTAGTAACAATAAAATAAAAAATTAACTGGGAAATGTCTACTAGAATGTTAATTGTGCTAACTATTCCATGCCTTTATTGTACAAATGCTAAATAAAAGTGCTTGTGGATCAGCTTCCAAAAGCAAAGAAAGCCCATGAATTTTATAAGAATACATGTAGCTGATTGCTACTATTAGAGCACCCAAAACTCAATTATACAACTTGTAGAGCTTTTTTCTCTCTATATATTACTAATGAATGTTAAGATAACGACAGTTGAAGACACACTCTGTTAGCTTAAGCAAGACATGAGATTTATAAGAAATGTTGACATTGGACTGTGCCCCCTTCTTTATGTATTAAATTATATTGTTACGTTCTCTCCTAATCAGGCCTTCTGTTAATACTGCTTAATCTTCAACACAGCACATCTAACACAAGAACTTAACAACAAGAGTCTCAAGTAACAATGTGGCAGTTTAATGACAAATACACGAAAAGCCAATACAACACAATTGGCTACATCAAATTCGAATGCTTTAACACAATAGAACTGCCTACTAAACACTACAAGTTTTTCTCTGTCTACATCTAGACTCGTATAGCTACATTATCAAGGACTCACTTTGTAGCACACTGTCCTTACTGCCTTGCGTCCTGGATTCAACTGTCCTTTCTAACACAATGTCTCTTGTCTGTAAAGGCTTTTTGGTCACATGACCATAACATTAGTCATATTGTGTGCATTAGCAGTAATGTCCCTTGTTCAACAGCCCTTGACCTGAATTATGTGTGTCAGTAGGCCGCACACACATTAACCCTTTCAG